TATGTATGTAATTCAATCAAGCACATACATATGCGAATGCCCCCATGGGGTACGCAATGAACAAAGATTTGCGAGCTAGAGTAAATTAATTAACTTTGAAAACAGTAATGTATAGTAATCTTTAGTTGTGAATGGAATCTCCTAATCAATAAACTGTCCTTTATATATATATATATATATATATAGATCAAGTTGGATAGGAAATGCAAATGAAAGCAAGCTTAGGTTATAATGATGCTCTGTGGCGGTGGGATGTCCAAATGGAATTATGATTTTAGGTAATAGAGCTAGATATAATTGTGATGGAATTTCCTTCAATGATATCATTTTTTCTAACAGGTTTGAGTTTTGTTTTTTTTGTTTTTTTTTTTTGAAGAAAAAAAAATCTTTATCGGTATGTTATATATATATATATATATTTGTTAGAGAGGTGATCATATATAATTAGGCAGGCTATATATCCAGTTTATAAATAAAGCATTTTTAGATTTTTTATTTTTTATTTTAGATTTCTCCTTCAGATTTTTTTAATGAATGTTGCAATTACTAATTTAGTTTTTAAAATTCCAATTTTTATATATATGTAGCCTAAATAATAGGAGAAAGCTCAATGAGCCTGAATGAAATTATTGCTCATTTGTACTGCTCGATGAAATCAAAAGCATGCATGTGTACTAGTTAGCTATGAAGTCTTTATCAATACATGTTAAAATTATGGTGGATGATGGAGCCTATTTTAGCGTGGAATTGTATTCATCCTATCACCCAAAAAAAAATATCTGTATAGAGTAATGAACCTATATATATTAAATGTTTGTTTGGCAATACAATATTTTAATAAAAATACGTCTAGTCTTAAAGACATGAATTTGATTTTTTTTCCAAAAAAAATAAAAAATTTTTGGCATTTATATATTAAAATCATTTAAAGAAAACACATCAATTTAATATTATTTAAATCCAAAATATATATTTTGAAAAGCACTTCAAACACAATTTAATATCATCCGCTAAAATACAGTCTACAAATGCTGGGTATAAAGAATGTTAACCTAAATTGGAGGGTAGGAGAAAGTTAAGAGTACGTAGTTATTACCAGCTAGCAAGTAATAGTACGTACTACAGTACCTCTAAATCAATTTCATATACAAGTGTTGGTCCCAATTGAATCTGCGTCTACTGGTACAACCAAATTGGACTTTGTGATTGACTGATGTAGGACCTATACTATATATTACTACCATATTAAATATTGGAAGGAGTGATGCTGTCCTCTTTCAGAGCAGACGCGAAGGGGCTTTCCATTTATCCAAAACTCAGGTACATCAGTACTAATGTGCACGAACACTGACCACAACAGTGTCCGAAAGTTTCACCTTACATGGTAATATGCATATATATTATAAAAACACAGACATAATATGATGTTAACTTTACGTATCCTCTTTTTCCAATTGATTAATTAAATTTTTATATTGAATTATTTTGTTTGAAATAAGTTTTTTTTATCAATGATTTGATTAATAACACTAAGTTAATTGTATAATCAAATGATATATATTCTTTAATTGTTGACGTATTAGTTTTTTATTACTTAAAACATACGTGAAAAAAAAAACCTAAAGATGATTGGATAATTTTTTCGAAATTTTTAGGTTTTTTTTTTATAATTTCTATAAATGTTTTGACTAATAATGAAAAAAAAATAATGAGTTCAGCAATCAAATAACACATACTGTCTAATTATATGATTAGTTTAATGTCATTAATTAGATAAATTACTAACAGAAAATTCACATTAAATAAATTAATTCAATACAAGAATCTGAATTTAATTTGATACCTACGTGGTTCTAATTAAGTAATTTTTTGTAATACAGAAACTATAGGTATTGTTAACCTTAGATAATTAATATGGAAGCAAGTTGTACCATTACCATCATTCGTTTATGCAGTATTAGTAGGGAATCAAAAGGTCACTGTTCTTCTGGATCTGTCTTACTGATACCTGCTGTGTGCACCATGTTGCCTTGGCAGCAAAAAGAAATAGACTTGGAATTAAGGTTCACACACACACTTCAGCACTGTCAACAAACATACAAAATATGCACACAATTGCATATATGTGGTCGCATATGTAACACTCCAATGATGATAGTCATGACAATATCCTTGTGATTTGATATTGTTGAAAAATCCAAATGGGAGGAAAGTTCAAAGTACTTTATAAGTGAGAATTAATGTTTTTTTTTTTTTTTTTTAAACAATTTTTACGCTTCTTTGTTAATTTTCCTTGTCTACAACCGGCATCCTATGATCCCTCCACAACATGCATTTACTGTAGTTTCCTTTTTTATTGAAGAGTTTATGTTTTAGTTATTGGCTTAAGTTAATGTTATTTTTCAGCTAAAAATATCTTGGAGGCAACTTCTTGGCCAGTAGATCATAACTTTCTCATCGACAAATTAATTTAATGTTACTTGTAATATTGTATTGTTTTTAGTTCAAAACTCTGTGTATGTATGTATATGCATACAAACGAAAAGACATGACATTATGGACGAAAATCGTAGAATAACAAACCGTGAAGTTAGCTTGCAATAAAACTGTAGAAGGCGAATATCGATCCATACAAGTCATGTTCGCACCCCATTTCGTGGTCTCAACTCCGTGGACAAGATGATCTAGTTAATGCTCGATCATACCACACCACACATTATAAAGACAGTTCCTTGCCACAACTACAAGTTTATGGAGTTATACGAGGATAGCTAGCTAGATAGAGATGGGATATATATATAAATAAATTGAGGAAAAAAATAGAAGATAAGGAAAAGTGAGAAGTGGCCTAGCTTGTAGGACTACCTGCACACAAGAACACATACATACATATATGTATATGCATATTAAATTTAGAAGGAAAAAAAATACAAGTAACAAAAAGAAGAAGAAGATAGTCTAACGTGTACCACTCATGAACAGCAATGAGATGGGCCATCCCTCACGTTATCATCCTTTTTTTATGTGTTTTGTATACATGTAAATACAAATCTATATTGGGTCTTGAATTCATAATTAAACTAGCTATATGTTTTCCTTTTGTCGCTATTGTGTAGTATATGTTGTGGCCTCGCGGGAGGTAATCTTAATGTGTTAGCTAGCTAGTAATATCACAGAAGAAGAACAAATGGAGCCTGAGATGGTGGGGTGAGGGGGAGGTGGGGAACTGGGTAATGCAGAGGCACTGCTCGTATTTTTGTCATCTGAGAAGTAGACAGAAGCAATAATAGCTGGATTTTGTTTCTTCAGTTTGAAGCAGGGGCCCCCACGCCCCATCCAAAGCCTTCTTCTGTAGATACTTCTCTACTACTGCTACCCATTATCATCATTCTTTACTGCTCTTTACTGCTTCCTTTGTCCACAGCTACAGATAGATACATGCGTACTTATTCATCTGTGACTGTGTGTGCGTGTGTTACAATTATTTCATACTGTGGAGGCAACTTATCAAAAGTAGGACTATAATTAATTCACCATATGGTGAACATATAAATTACTTAAAATTAATGTCGTACATACATATATGAAGTAATTAATAGAATATTTTTAAATCAGTTTTTCATAAATTGAAATTGAATTTATTATTCTTTAAGATAAATCATTATCGTAACTCGTTTAATTTTTAGTAGACTACTATCTTTTAAATAAATCAATTCAAACTTAATATCATTAAATTATAATTATGATCAATTATTCATAAATAATAAAAAATAAATATTTATATAGATTAAACTAAAACAAACCTTACTCCTATGCCACATTCTTCCTTTTGCCAGTATGTATAGAACAAATTCAACTGTTATTGCCAAAAAATATACAAAAGTGTTGCGTTTGGAACACCGATGATGTATAGAATTAACAATTACTGCTCCCTACGTTTACCTTAATGCGCACATTGATAGTTACATATGCAATAGCTAGCTACAGTTTCGATAATAACATCACCTTATATACATGATCAAAAAGCAATATTTTCCTTTAAATGGTGTATATCTGATTCAAAAGAGGTATCCTCATGAATTCAACTTGCAAAAAGGAAGAACTATTAAATATAGGAGAGAAAGGATGAGTAGTATCTCCAATATTTCTTGTCAAAAGATGTAAATTACCAAGGAGAAACGGAAAATGTGGATAACATACACTGCCATTGTCGGGCATATTACGGATAGATAATGAAAGAAAGGTGCAAAGTACAGCCCTCATTTTTGAACCCATCAACCACGTGATATCTTCTTCTGAAAAGGAAATGTAAAATTCCGTAGCATCTGTAATTTTGTATGTAAAGGGGAGGTTGTTAAAAATAAAATAAAAAAAGATTACAACAGTACTACATATCATGCGGCCCTTTATTCCACACTTGAGTTGATTAATTATATGAGAAAAACAGAATATATATACATTATCAAAAAGGCTACATATATATTTTATTGGATACTGTAAATGAAAACCGATGTTGGAGTAAATTATTCTACCTAGGGAATTGAATTAAGATATATAGAGTGTTGTGGCTTTGGACAAAGCTTAGAGGGTGTTATGCTAATTTTTCCATTTCAGGCAGTCAAGGTTGTTACCTTATATGGAAGGCAACAACAAGAAAGTTAAGCAAGATACTTTTTTTTTCCTCTTTTTTCCACGCTTCGAAAACAACCGACAGCTTAAACCTTTTTTCCTCTCTCTCTCTCTCCCCCCTCTCCATCTCTCCTTTTCCCCTCAACTTGGCAAAATGGAGAGATTAAATAATTTCAAAGTATGTAAAGCTCTATTCTACCATGTTATTAATAATACATCAGGGAGAAAAGGAGATGAAAGAAAAGAAAAGAAAAAAGTTGGTTCTACAGTACAAGTGGGGAATTAATGGGAAGTCTAATAAATAAAATTCACATCATCAGCTCCTCAAGAGTGGGGCAAAAATGGGGAATTCAAGTGAAGAACTGATCTAATTAATACACACTTTGTGTTGTTGATATCAGTGGGTCTGTTTCAAGTGAAGCTGACTTCACAAGATCATTAATGCACAATATCTCTTCAAGATTGGCCTTCTTGCTGTTAGCTTCCTTAGTGATAGCCTCTGGTTTGGATGATGATGTTGGTAATATTGGAGCACTAGACGTTTCTGATGTTTGTGTGAGCAATCTTGCTCTCTCTACTTGAACCGTCCAATCTGTTGTGCATAGAACATATAGCATCAACAAGGCACAAGAAGCTTGAGCTGCAAGCAATCCGAGCCAGAGTCCTGCAAACCCCATTTTGGCCACAAACCCCAGAAACATTGCAACTGGCATACCCACCAAGTAAAATGAACCTAAATTGATGTTTGCTCCAATGGTAGGCCTAGCACTCCCTCTTAAAACCCCGCAACCAGTTGTTTGGGGGCAATTTCCAAGCTCGCAAAGCCCAGCAATTGGCAATGCTATTGAAGTTAGCTCTAGAATTTCAGCATCATTAGTGAAAAATCTGCCCCATTGATGCCTCATCAATGTTGTGAATAGCATGGCCATAAGGCCCAAAGCGACCGCACATGTTAGGGAAACAATCATGGAAATGCGGGCTTTTGCCGGGCGGTTAGCCCCTAGCTCATTCCCGATTCTTGTTGAGACTCCAAGGCTTAGGGATGATGGAAAAACATAGACTAATGATGTTGTCTGGATAAGAATTCCCATTGACGCTACTGTTGCTTTGGGATTAATAAGTAGTCCGCATAGCATTATCATGAACTCATACCACCACCACTCAAGGCAAACGGAAACGCAAGTAGGCACAGCAAGGGAAAGCAGAGATGACCATCCTCTAAGGCAATCCATGCTTGGAGAAACCCATGAATCTTTATATACACCAGAGAAGTAAATGAAAGAAGCGAGTGAGAGAAAGAGATTGAGATTGGTCAATACCATGGCTATCGCAACTCCTGCTATGCCCATTTTGAAATGGACAACAAGAAGGAAATTCAAAGGGACATGGAGAAGAACAGAGATGGCTGAACAATAAGTTAATGGCAATGTAATGCTTTGCGTCCTGAGATAGATCCTTAGCGGGTGAAGAAGTGAAAGAAAGAAGAGATCAGGAATGGAAAAAAGAATGAAAGTATGGGCCACTGAAGATATTTCTTGGTCCTGACCAGACCATAAAAGGATGTTCTTCATGTTAAGCCACGTGAAAGATATTGGAACAGAGGCAGAGAGGAGGAGGAGAACAGTTCTTTGAAGAGTCAAGCCAAGTATCTTCCATTGTTTTGCTCCATAAGCTTGTCCGCAAATGGGTTCCATTCCCATAGCTAAACCAGAGAGCACAGAGTAGCCAGTGATGTTGGCAAAACCTATAGAGAGTGAGCCACCAGCCAGCTCAAGCTCCCCAAGATAGCCAAGAAAAAGCATGGAGATCATGGCTCTTGAATACAGAATAAGACCAGTCATTGCTGTCGGGCCAGAGATCTTCCCTATTTCTTTGATTTCTTGCACGGCCTGAAAACAAACATAACAAGATATGAGAACTGAATAAGTGTTGGCTTGTTTCTTGGTAGGAAATATGAATCTTGCAATATATTAGTAATTAAGAAAGATCGTTAGTACATCTTTGGTTATATATATATATATATATATATATATCCAAGTCGCTAGATACATGATAAGTGTTTGATGGTTTTTTTTTTTTTAAAAAAAAAAATACTACCTCAGAAGCAGTTGGCCATCTGTGTAGCTGTTCTTCTTGATCATCATCGGTAAAAAGATCCATGGTTTTGTTTGGTTTATAACTGAAACGAGGTTTCTTGGGACAGAGAAATGGGGATGGTGAAGTTGGAGTTGGATTACACATATTTCTGTGATAAAGAAAGAAATAACAAAAAACAAATGTTAATGAGCAAGCTAGGTAGGCTGAAAAGATAGTCCTATACTTTCTAAGTGCTGAAACTGCAAGCTTTGTTGTTTGTTTTATGGGGTTTGAATATGGTTACTACTTGATACAAGAAGCAAGAGGGATGTGTCTATATATACTCGAAGGGCTTGGGTCCTACTGCTTGGCTGGGAAGGTACGTGTCAACATTTTGAAGCGAAAATGCTGTTAAAAAGTGCTACTGGATTCTTGAGTGCTGGTGGGGGCCGACTCTTTTTCCTTTTAGACTCTCTAGCTCTCTACACACACACACACACACGATATATACAGCTGAGGTTAATTAGCTGGTCACTTTTTATTATACTACTATATATTCCTAGCTCTTCGCCTTTCATGCATGTTTTTTTGTGTAGTAGGGACTAGGTCTTATCTTCCGTATAATTAAGGTGGTGAAATAAGTGGTGATTGGTGGATTTATTTGTTTTCAACCGCCATAACCCGTTTGTCCATGTAAGTTTGTTTGGTAAATGATAATGGGGGGGCGACCTTTTGGCATTTGTTAATTATGGTGGATGAACTTTGTTTTTACTAATCAAACCTTTTTGCTTTAAGTGGATAATATTCTTTTAAACCCTTCATCGATCTATTTAGGTGTTTGATTTCTTATATGTGATGAAAGGGATAAAGGAGTTTATCTTGGACTGCCAAGTGGAGGGAGTACTGGAGGGAGAAGCAAATCCGCCTACTTGTGAAATGACAGGGGCATAATGGTACACTTTTGACAATTGGCCGTTAACTTTTGTGGGCAGAGAAATGCTTGCATGTTCTAAGGTAGCAATCGATGATCCGGTACTCTCTGCAGTTTGAACAACCCATGTGGTAAAATCCACTCAAACCATGATCTTTGCTGTCTGCACCCACATGAAAATACATGAACAAGAAAACATAGGTCGACTATTTTCCCAAGTCGAAAGGTAGCATGCTTATGCAAACTCTGTTTCAGGCCCCATACGTTCTGGCTCTCTCTCCTCTTTAACTTGTTTGAGCTAAAGAGTTGAGAGCGGTGGGGGAAACGGAACTTGGGCATTGTTGCGAGGTAAAATAAAATAATACCAACTCGGGGTGGATTTTCCTTCTTCAGAAAGTGGGCAGGGGCGGGCTGAGATTTGAGTTGAAAGATATTTTGTTAAGATCCTAATCACCCACCAAAATCATTTTAATCTATTCTCAAGAGTCGATCTCTGCATTCCAAAAGATCATTTATAGAGATCCTAAATCCACAAAATCATTGTAATCGATTATGCAAACGTAATAATTTTCAGGTTCTCTTAATAAGGGCCTTTCTGAGCATTGAATGATTAGCGAGCTGATCTTCCTCGATCTTTCACGCACCATCCAGGTAACAGCGTTGGATGAGGACACGGCTAGATTTGAGACAGAGGTACCGGGTTTGAGACACCAGACCTGTGATGGAATTATGGGAACAAAACCATGCTATGGTTGTGGGTAACTTGGCCTTTAACCAATGAACAAAGAGGTGGGGTTTTGCGAGGGGTTTCCAAGTGGCTAGAAATGTCAAATCCAGAGGATATTTTATTATGCCCTCTCCTTAACCAATATAATTTGTGCTCTTTTAAAAAGGTTATCTTCATGATATGTGGAGGTGGCGTGGCGTCATGAATGGGACCACTAGGAGTATTAATGGAGATCACAGTAAATGGCTGTTTGGAGAACCGGCAGATGGAAGAAAGGGAACACTGAGCGACAATTACGTGCTCCAATAGCAACCATTTAATTTGTATCCCTTTTCCCACAACAGAGATGAGTCTGTCTCTCTGTGGGAGAGAGCCTTGGCTGTGTCTGTGAGGCAACAGAAGCAGCAGCCCTACCATCATTACCCTCCGTAACAAGTAGAAGAGTTCAACTTTTTTTGCCTTTTCCACAGACTGAGCTTCTTCAAGAATCAGTTTCCCTTGGTTTCCCTGCACAAGATATTAGTTCTCTGAAATCCATACCCACCCATGTCAGATTCCATGTGTCTCCAGCTCAATAAATTGCTGTAGATGAGAGCTACGTGTCATAAAATGGTACCAGTGGACAAAAACTAGTGTAAGAGAAAAAGATTGAAGTGATAATATGAACGAAAACCTATTTCGAATTTGGCATCCTGATTGTTAAGTGGGGTTCTTGAAAATGTCTATCCATCAGATTGTGGAAATAGAAATTGACAATTTTTAGGATCGCATGGTGATGATGCCAATGCCATTCACTGGTACTGTCACTCATAAAATCATTTTGCACCAAGTTGTTGTTATAGTGGATTTCAGACAGAAAATTCTTGGCATAATAATAATAAAAAAAGAAGGGAAAAAAATTTGCAAATACAACGCCAAATGCAAGTTTCAATGGGGGAAAAGGATATGCAACAGCGACACGACCTTCCAGGATTTGACATTTAATAAAGATTATACTCCTCTAGAAACTCGAACAAATTCACAGATTCCATCCTCCTCACCCTGCCTCTTTCTTTCCTGAAAAAGGTTGATGCTTAATTTCAGAACTAGTCACTAGTAGGAGATACCAAGAAATCTCTGCCTCTAACCACATGTCAGCATCCTAATCTGTTTTTAGCTGGATGCGATTTGTGATGATCAACAATAACCACACATGTCAACATGCTAATCAGTTTTTATCTGGATGCCATTTGTGTCTTAGATGCATGACTGATCTTTGCATAGGTATGCTACATTGTCCCATGATGTGTTATACTCCCAGCATTTTTTTCTCAAATCGCCCACCTAGATTCTTTAACATGCACATGCATGCATTTCCAAAACTATTTTGATGTATTTCAGAGCAAATAAGTCCAATGATGATATAGTGCTACCTCTGCCATACAATCTTTTCCAAGTCTTCTGCCATGTCTTCATTTAAAAGTTAACAGTAATTAGCTCAAACAATTTGTACCTGACGCAGGTCTTTTAAATGATTCCCAGGCCTTAAGAGAAAGCATTGTATGGAGGCATTAAAAGCAAAACAGGCTTTCATAGATACTGATAACTGCAATAAACACACGAATTTATTCCAAGGTTCAGACACAACAAATGACCAAAAAGAAATTAATTATTATCACAAAGGAGAGTGTCAATAAAAAATCAATGAAGCTTTTCAAAAAACCAGAGCATAAGAGACATGTCCCCATCAGGGTTTCAATAACCACAACTCATGTACTAACTGTTCGCCACCAAGCACAACTCACCACATTCATATGGAAAATTCAGGCACAAAATGCATGAGATTGGAATACATCATGCTTGGACCACCAATGCCAATCACTGTTGCCTTTGGAAAATGAATATTTTTCCATCAGGAATAAATCCCAATCGGCAGCAACTTATCTTGGTTGGTAAGGGAGCAGTATTGGGAGCAATCCAGGGCTTTTACTTTCTTTCCCCTGGCTAAAGGTGGACCTTTTTTAATTGAAGAAATTCTTCCCTAAATTTAGATGGCTTGTCTCACCCATCATTCACTGACAGCTATGATATTTGTCTCCCTGCATGTGAGTTGCAATTTTGTGTGACCGTTGCTTTACATATGCATGTTTTCCACCCTTCCTAATATATGTTGAATTTATTGCAAACAGACACCTATCCATTGAATCTGGACCTTTTAAATTTTTTCAGTAGCAATGACTCCGCAGTTGGCCTAGAAAAAATTTTTAATTACTCAAAAATATTCAAAAACTTCCATGAAATTTCCTGTTTCCTAGAAACTCAGACTTGCAATTTGCATATTGAGAGCACCTTCTATCAGATTCACCTCAAGTACTGTGCTGACAACTGATCAGATGAAATTGCAAAAAAAGCCTTTTGTCATTTGCACAATGAGAAAGCAAGTGGTTACAAAGTAAATTGATAAACAACACATCAGAATTAAATGCCTTTATTGATCAGGAGAGATAAAACAGCTATCAACATATTCTTGCTGGTTGTTGACATTTTGAATTTTATCAACATCCAAAAAATAGGCAACAAAAGAGAATACCTTATGAGATGCCCATGGGCTTCTGAACAGGAGATCGAGAAATACCCAAGATGGCTATAATTCCAGCAGTAAAGGCAGCAAGTGCTCCAACGGCAATGGCCGGTGAGTTTCCACCACCAAATAGTTGATCCCATGGTCCACTTCCCAGAGAAACCACCACCTGTTTTTGACATGCAGATTTTTACATCTAAATGACAAGGTAAAAAGTAATCTTAACAGAATGGTTTCCAACAGAATTTTTTATCACGTAAATCGTAGAGGATTCCTAAGTAAACGCATAAGAAATCATCTGAAGTACCATCTGCTAGAAAAAAGGATGTGTATTGCACAAATACTCAAGTTAACTGAAAGTATCTATCTGTCAACTTAGAAAATTTCACTGCAATTTTTCACAGATTGCATCAGCATAAACCTGCAATCTAGAATTCTGATATGCATGGATAGAACCAGCTTTTGATTTACTATAACTAGTTTACCAAATTTACAGACGTTAAAGGCAACATTGCACCAGTTCATGCTAGACCGTGCACCAGTTCCAACATTGCCAATTCTCCAATGGATAAAATGGGCATGTGATTCGTGGTCTAATGAAATGCAAAAGACAGATAAATTTTCACATCTTCTCAAAAGTTTCAGCAGAGTGACAATTATGATCTATGGTGCCTACCATTCAGGAGAGCGTTTGCATATTTGATAAGCGGACACCGCTTCTTATTTCATCAGGTTCTTAATTGCAACAGATATGGATTCAGAAAGGGTAATATTGCCTTCACGGTGGCAGCAAATTTTCATCAGACTGAAGAATACAATTAATGGGTCCAGAACAGTTTTCTACAATATTTATATGCAACAACATTCCAGTTATCTACATAGAAACTCACTTTCCTGTGGAAAAGTGGAGCATATAAAGCATCTATATTTTCATCTGTGATAAAATTAACTATACATTACTGTAAAACAATGTTTTTGTAATTTAAAAGCACATAAAGATACTTCAAACTTTTTCTTAAGAGATTGCAAACCTACAAGCATTTTGTCAATTTTTACTTTAGAAAATTTGATAATAATTTCGTCTCGTGATTTGTAATTAATTCCCCTTCCTTTTCTTTTCACTTTTGAAAAGTTAATAATGCTTTCATCTCCTCATGGAAAACTGTAATCTACGATCAACAAGAAGCAAGTTTCAAAGAAGGTACGAAAGGGAAAGAGGGGAAGAAAGAATGCATGCAAAACAATATAAGATAGTACCTTACAGCCCATTTGAAATCTCAAGCAATTAGCTGACACTGTGTTTCAATAAGAGGATTTAGGGATCATTTTGGATTTATATTTCCAGCATCACATTGTGATAAGTGTATAATTCTACTCTTTTTTTTTAATTCCCTTTACAGTTTTTAGTTGTATTTTGTGCCTAATTATGCTTTTTAGAGTTAAATTTGTGTTTTAGGCATGATTATAGAAGTCGTCGATATTTTTGTTTAAGTATAGAAAAATTTCAGTTTTTTAGTATTTTGACCTTCTAGGCTTCTTGTAGGGCTTTGACCACCATACAGTTGCAAGCAGTCTTCAGAACTTTTTTAGAGGACATCTCAAGCTTTTCAGAATGGTATTACGGTTCAAAATCCGACCTTGTTCGGACCTCCAAATGTTGGCTCAAAATCAGAGTTGGAAACTGAAATATAGGATTCTGTCCGAATACTGCATCTTTAAAGGAGCATATCTGGAGTTCCCAACGACTAAATCAGGTGAGTCAAAGGCCCAACTTAAAGCAATCATCAAGAGATGCAATTCTTAAGAAGAGCCCACGACCCAGCTTGGCCTTTAACACATCCAAAATTGATGTTGAAGTTGCAGCATCAAACCTGGAATTTAATGCTAGTCGGTTCTTGAAGATGTTGGGTCTCTTTTATGTAATCAACTGACTTAATGCTTGGGCAGCTGAAAAATCCTATTTTTGAGGAAACGACGTTATTTGTGGCTGAAAGAGCAAGTTGGAATTAACCCTTGGCTTCAGGTCTTCCTCCTTGCATTTCTTTTCAGATTTTTGGGTATAAATAGTGGGTTTGAGTAGGAAAAAGAGAGTTTTTTGGTGGCTGGAAACAACTCATACGTTCTCTTTTATTCTTGTGTTCTTGAAGAAGCCATGCTTGGCTAATTGTCTTCTTTTAGGTTAGTTGGAACTGAGACCATTGCTGTAAACTTGTGAGACTTGTTCTTCTCTGTTATTTTCCAATTTTAATATCTGATTTACTTATATTTTATGTGTTGAATGATTGATCAACGAATTGATTAGAAGTACTAATAATTAGTTTATTTATTTAATGGAATGCTAAGTTGGAATTAGATTGCTATCAACTGATGATTCTATGTTAGTAGCAATTAGTTTATTTATTTAATCGAATGCTAAGTTTGAATTAGATTGCTATCAACTGATGATTCTATGTTAGTAGCAATAGAGATTAACGTTAATGGACAAGTTAATGTTAGTTCTCAAGGAGAAACCAGATTAAATTGAGTAAACAACGCTGGTGTGTGTTTAATGTTTAATGTTTAATGTCAATTATCTTTCTAGTTGTTAATACTATTACTGAATTGAATTGAGAACTAGTCTTGAGATTATTTTAGAAGTCAAATTTCTATAGACTAATCTTAAGAAAAGACTAAGGCTTTTAGGTCTACACCTGACTTTCTTGATTGAATATTTAATTGGAATTAATTATTGTTTTGTGTCAATGAACAAGTTTACAAAGATAGTGTACGTATCTTTCTAACCAAAACTTTGTCATATAGTTTTAATCTTCAATCTTTGCGTTAATTTGATCCTTATTCTTGCATTGTAATTAATTAATTTCTGCTCGTAATTGCTACAACCCCAACCCCCTCCCCTCACCCCCCAAACCCCACACACCAATCTATAATTTTGTTAAATATTTCGATCTTGGCTGGAAAAGAAAGAACTAGGAAATTTGATCATATCTGCCGCCATTCATTAGTGTTCTATTTTAGGTTGTCTGTCTTGTTTAATTTTTATTTGTTTCTCTTTGAATTTTGTTACTTCATTAATTTTATTGGGTTAGTATTTGTTTCTCTTTCTTTAGGTCAATCCAACATTTTAAACTTAATCATATAGTCAGGTTTGACCCTTACTTGCTGCTATCTATGTTTTCAAGTAAGGTAATTTAATTTGAGCGCCTGACACGCATCACATTTGCCAAACTGCCACCTTTTAAGATCTATTTCAGGCTACAGTATCATAACTAACAAAGCAACTGGAGACAAGGGTATTTGCACCTTTCACTTTATTTTTTATAATGGACTTAATCTGATTATCTTGAGCATAAATTACTGAACTCCTTCATGTGGTCAAGACACATAAGTTGGATAATACAATAAAACGCAAAGAGACGAGTCATTAATCAAAAGGCAGGAGACTCTACATGGTTCTACATATCCCTAGGGATCTGACAAGTAAGTGGCATTTGCAGCAGCAGGACCTACTTTTATACGAGGAAAAGACTCCAGTATGAAGAAGTTGGTTTATGTCTTTAGAAGATTATGTCTCACATAGAAGCCCCGAGGCACAAGTGAGTTGATTGAATTCTGGTACAGATGAAAATAACTAAAGGTGATTTAATTTCTTTTACTACTTAGTTGTTATTGATGTAATTCAACTGCCACCAAAAGGCATAAAAACAATCAAGTCAGCATGAACGTTCAGGGTAAAAAAACATTTATAAATCATTTTCTCCAGCCATAAATGATTAAGAAAAAAAGATTTCTCTTTACTATTTTCCCTATTTTCAGCAGGCAGGAAGACAAGAAAATAAATATGTAAGAGCAAAGAGAAACCTGTGGGAGCACAATTGCCAAATTAAGAACACCCATTGACAACCCTGCGAGAACCAATAATAGATTCAAGTGGTTACATAGGCATTTCAACAAAAAAATAATTTTGTAAATACAGCACAAAGGAGCAATGCCCACCTTGTCCAAGTCCCAAAGATTCAATACGCGAGGAAACCAAAGCATATGGAACACTGTAAGTGATCTGTAATCAAATATGAGATAAGTTTTCTTTTGGAATAAAACCACAGAAGAAATATTTTGATCAGGAAGCAGCACATCAAACAAATGTAAACTTTCTTGTCTATAGAGTATGGTCAAGTCCTGGCATATTTTGGGCCTAGATCCTCAAATCCTTTTTCTTTTGCTCTTTTTCTTTTTAATGACTGCCATATAACAGAGAAATAAAAAATGACTGCCACCATAAAACACGTGTTTCAGGCATCATACAACAAGATAGTCCGTATTTCAGCCTTTCAACTGTGGAGATCAACAACTTGATATGAACTACACGGCATGACTCTCAGTAAGCAAAACCCACAACATATAGAGGACACAGAATCCATAGAAAAATGCTATTGTTTACTTGATTCTTGACTGTTGACAACATATAAACTAGAATGTTAGCAGAAAATCTATAGATCCTTTAGGAGGAGTTTTGCAACTTACCGCCAATGGCATGCCAAGCACTGCAAAAATCACTAGTGCAGCTACTATAATGCTATCTGGTGGTGGATGATGACCAATGTAGCCAATATGCCTTGCCACATAGGAGAGTATAAGCATTGAAAGAAAGCACAGAGCCATTAAGATGTTCGAAAGTCCCCACATGAAACCTGCTCCCCACTTGCTGCAGAGCTTCTCCATGAGCACAGATGTTACTCCAAGAATAACAGAATTGAACATCAGACCAAAGGCACCCATTCTGACTCCAGCGTTATAATTTTGTCCTTCATTTGGCTTGCCGCCATAAATTTCTCGACCCATCCAGTCAGTGTCAAAGAGAAGAAATGGAAACCAACCAATCCAATTGAGAGCAGTAACAAGCAATATTATCCATACAGTCCATGGGAAATATCTAAAAGTCCCAAAGAGCTCCCAGAGAAAAGCCTCTTGTTCAGGGTTCGACTGACCTGGAATTTCTTCAGTAGCAAACATAGATCTGGCAGACAAATCTAGAGGTGATTCTTGAGCTGTTGAGATGCTTATGTATGCAGTAATTGCAATGAAAACAATGTCAAGATAAAAGGCAGACTTGAGATTCGCACAGTCAATATCGCATGCAGAAGTAACAGTGAACGGAAAAACCTTGTACCACCCACTATATGATCCAGTGGCAAAACCAAGAATATTACCAACAGCCATGAATAGTGAGAAATAAGCATTTGCGACTCTAGTTCTTCGATGATCCTTTCCTGCCATGACACAAATCACCCAAAGACAGATATCAAATTGCTGCATATTTTTCTAGTTTGATCTTTTTATACATAGCATGTACAAGCATATGGAAGAACATGTGCTTCCCAAAAGAAAGAAGCATGATTCATGTACATTGTCATTTTATATATAGGGTATCTAATTTTTAAGTAAAAGCATAAAAAAAGATGATTGCCATATTCCTTGCTAGGCTTTCAGTTGAGAGCCACAAAAATGAGACCAGCAATCTGTAACTCTCTCTACTCCTTTTCGTTGAATGCATCTTTCACTTAGTTAAATAAAAAATGGTGTTTTGAGCCCGAGAGGCAAATAGCAAACGGATTAACCACTGTTGCAATCCAGTCTATGGAACGCTCTGCCTTACATGATCAGCGCATTAAACCTTTATTGACTATCGTGCAAAGAGATACGTGCCAATACAGCAACAAATCAATAAAGGCTTTTTTCCAGGTGGTATCCATGCAATATCTACCCATGCCATCCACAAACTTAACCACATTATGACCTTGAGTCCAATTCGTATAGCAAAAGAAAATTCTCTTCTGTACAAACACATTGAATAAAGAAATTAAATTGACAGGTTCAGGAGCATTATACGAACTTCACATACCAAAGATTCTCTTATGCATACCAGTAGAAACACCTAGTATCCATATGAATGCACTTTGGATAAAACATATGAACATGAGCAGAAGAAAATTAATTTCTTATTAAAAGGCTGTTGCAAGGTACTATGCGTTATAATGAGGAAATTTGACAGTCATAATGAGCAAAATTCAATCTTTGTACAGTGGTCTTTTATTTAGTTTGATCTAGTAATTAATGACTTTCTGCTTCACAGTATAGTCACAGCAACGCAGTAGCTACTCTTGAATGGATCTAAAGATAAAGGCATCATCATCCATCAATACCAAAAGGAAGCACTTGCTGTTAAATTTGGATTATGACCCACTTTACATTGCATCGGTTACGGTAGATATATTACAATTCACTGACAAGAAAGAGGCTCTTCTCCCTGTTTTATATGGTGTGTTGGCCAAGTATACCATGGAGGTTTTGCTCCTTTCGGGAGCTTCAATAGCCCGTAAGGTAAGCTTGGAGCTTCAGTTCCCCATGTTCCAAAAGAGAAGATAGCAAATCGATCAAACATGCAGTCATGTAAAATATATCTTTTAAAACTACAATTAGCTGGATAGAGATAGCAAATGCTCATTCACCACCCATTTTTTCCACTATCTTCCCGTTTGCATAATACACCATTTGTCCACAAAATCCAGAAAATGACTTCAAAATGCAAAATAAACACTTATCACAGTTGTTAGTCTCACAACAGAGATTAAATATGGAAGTTTCTCTGCTTGGACCATGTCCAATATGATTTTTGAAATTCCAAATTGATACAGAAACCTATTGTTCAAGGAATTATACTCTTAAGGCAATAATTTTATAATCAAAATGAGATTCAAATGTCCAATTTTCTCAATCAACATGGAGAACGTGAAACATTTTGGAAACTGTTTTTAGTTGCCCCTATCCTTGTATCTGTCTAAAAAAAAAAAAAAAAAAAAAAGAAGAAGAAGAAGAAGAAAGCCGAAAAGACAGAGAAGCAAGCTCGGCTTACACAGCATGGAGCATGCGGGGTTGAATGTGGATCCCACCTAAAATTAATTCATCTTTAATCATTGTATTAGATGAACAACACGATCAATCATACAAAGTAGGCCACACCCACATTGGCAAATACCCAACAAAACAGAGACTCAAATTGCTCACCAACTAGTCCGACCCCACCAAACGGTCCAAACGCAGTGTACCAAACTAAAATCACGCCCGAAATCATACATCATGGAAAAAACCGCCCATTAAATTATCAAAAGTTGTTCCGTTGAGCACCCATCAAACAACCATAGAATCTTAAAAAGATAAAGCGACATCAATAATGAAAACTTTAAATAATTAAAAATCATCAGAATCCTCTAATCATTAATCATTAAAAATAAAAAATAAGATGCCAAACGTAAAAAAGAAAATAAAAAGCATCGTAGCAAAATCATATTCTCAATTAGGGTTTTGATTCATTCGAATTTAAACTGAAAAAAAAATAAATTCAGGTAAAATCAAATCAAAGGAATGAAGAGAGTTAAAATGATTACCAGTAAGATCAGCGAGTAGAGCACGACAAGGACCCTGTGTCATATTATTAGCAACATCAAGAATCCAAAAGCCAAACACAAAAGCACCAATTGCTCTTGGTCTGACATCTCCTCTATCACCTAACCACCATCCAATATCAGCGGAATGACCAATAATCAAAACCGAACCTGCAATCAAAATCGCCCCTGCAACAATAAACGGCCTTCGTCTTCCAAACCGGCTGGTGCACCGATCGCTCATGAGGCCGACAAGAGGTTGCACAAACAGTCCTGATAATGGACCGCACAGCCAGATAATACTCGCCCATTGGTGAGGGATTCCTAGCTCTTGCACATAGGGTGTTAAGAGAGAGAGCTGTAACGCCCAGCCGAATTGTATCCCGCCAGCGATTGATGTCACGCTGAGGAGTTGGCGTAATGGAACTCTGCGCGATTGATGTGGGGGTCGAGCTGGTGGAGGTCGATTCGTTTGTCGTGCCCTGCTGGCTCGGTTTGGCTCGGGGTTGGCCACTGGCATGGTGGTTTTTTATTTGTTGAAACGGTGAGCGGACGCGATATAGCGCGCGCGAGCTCGCTGTTGTGTGCGTTCGTTTTTCCTTTTTTTTTAAAAAAAAAATTATATTTCTTCTCTTCTCTCTCCAAAACTGTATTTTAGCTCCTGTAAAGTTGATGGAAGAAGCCAAGTGGGAGTGGAAAATGGCGGTTTTTGTTGATGCTTGTAGTTTGTTAACTACCCTTACCTGTATGATTAATTTACGGGTAGGAACTGATCAGGATATATGGGGAGGGTATATTTTAGTAAATTATGGTTTAAAATGAGGGCAAGTAGTTGATATGGTTATTTTTTGAACGAGTTTTTAGACTGAGGCAGTCATGCAGGTTTGAAATGACTGGGATGACCTTACAACTAAATTTGGTTATTTTTAGTAGTGCACTTTGGTGCGAAGGACACACAAGTGGTTGCCGTGTCGAGTGATGTTTGGATTTTGACCTGGGAGGTTCAGGTGTCCGAGGTCGGCTGACTTTTAGGTACATGGGCTCCCGGGGGCCATTGATTGATGTTACTAAACGTTTTGGCTTTGCTTTCCCTCTTTGATAAAGTTTTGAACAAATATCTTGCATTTGTATTTTTTGGTTTGTCAGGGTGCTTATTATGCGATCCTTGTCGACTATATCAATGATTATTTTATTGCTTCGATCGTTGTTTTGCTTTATATGATTTACAACGAAGGAACAAGTTGTCCTGCACTTCTGCTGGTACAAGCAATTATTTGATTCTATTTCTGTACTAAATTAAGTGTTAATTGTTTTTTTTATTAAATTAATTTGTTTAATGTGAACTGTTTACATTAATTATGTAAGATGATACGTATCATTTCACTATTTTTAGATCTAAAAATCTTCTTTAATATAAAATTGAAACATCTTGACCATGGTCCTGTCCTTTCGCCCAAGAATCAGGACTCTTGATCTTTCGACGACGTACTTTTTTTATTGAATACCTTATTAGTTTTTTTTTCCTTTTTATTGTTTATTACTTATAGTATTTATAGAAATTATATATTAAAAAACTAAAATTTCCAAAAATTTACCCATTTTTGTTATTCAATTTTTTTATAATTTCTATAAATACTTTAAGTAGTAAAAACTTTACGAGGAAAAAAACTAATGAGTTTAATAGTCAAACATGTGTCATCTAATTATACGATAAATTTAATGTCGTCAGCCAAATCATTAACAAAGAGTTCACATTAAACAAATTGAATTGATACAAAAATTCAATTAACACTTACATTGGTGTAAAGACCTGATGAAATAATTGCTTATAATAGATACGATATAGAGTTAACCCAAGCAAAATGTGGTGAAGGTTTCATTTAACTGTTGCATTTAATTTAATTTATAGATAAAGAAAATAATACTTATTTTGTCAGTATAAAGCAACCAACCACTTCAACCGACAAATTCATGAATCATGGAGGAGGGTGAACCTGAACCTGTAAATAATGATCATGAATCAACACAAGAAAGCCATGAAAAATGTACACCGATTATCTGGATGAATGACAAAAGATATCAATGATTACACAACTTTGTTGGGTAATATAAATGAATTGTTGAACTTGAAAGAGAGATCAATGAGTAGAACGTAAAAAGAATAGATTAGAGGATCATTACACAATAATTAATGGAGTTTCCATCAAGCTATTATTTTCTTTTATTTTTTTAATTTGACCCAAAACGATGAATTTCAATTTAATAATCATCTACATCTAGATTCCAAACTTAGAAGTACATCGTAAATGCGTTGCATTAGTTTTGTATTATCAAGGGGGAAAATAGAACGAGAACCAATAGGTAAAGTGATTGCTTGCTGGAATGAAACTAATTTTCCAGCAAATCTAGACACTTGTTTTGCCAAATGTCAAAAACGCTGTGTTTTTTTTTCTATTTTTGTTTCTTTTTTTAAGCATGGAACAAAAATATTGGTTTCCATTTCTACATAATATGCGAAAAAGAGGGAACACTTCAATGAGCTAAAGTGGATGATATTGAGTTAGCATTTTTTACACTCTTTCCATCTTCATACACACACACACACACACATATATATATATCAAAATGATTGTCTTGTCAAAATTTTATATGGTATATTTTCCTCAATTAAAATCTATTTTATAAAAGATTATCTATATATTGTGTGGAGGATTTTTGATAATTGATCAAACGACTAGTCGACGGATCAATGAACATACCAATAGTTAATGTTGTGGTTTGTAGAAACAACAATCAATCAAGTAAAATGGAAGCAAATAGTGAGAGGCATAAGAGGAGGAGCAGACAGTGCTAACAAGATGCAAATTAGGTGACAGGTAGGTGAATGGTCAAAATCCAAAAGAATGTAGCTTTAAATGTTATTTGGTGTGTGAGTGTGAGCAAATGCTTAAAGATTTAATTGATGTGTATAAAACAATATGAAAAGACGACAGTTCCTAAATGCTTTTTGGTTTTTTTCTAAGTTTTTGATCCATCAACTCGTTGAGTGGGAGGGAAATTTTTCTTAAGCGCTTCGTAAGCAAATAATGAAATTGAATTTTATTTTTTTGTACTAAGAATAATGTTTATACCCATAGCCTAACCAATATGCAACTTGGTCGGATGGATACGGCACTTCCATAAAAAAAAATTATCATGAAAAGTTCACGACTGATCGAGTGTGCCGCTTGGCCGGATGAACATGTTATTACCATAAAAAAAAAAAAAAAAAAAAGCATCAAAATCTCATTGCTTGACAAGCATGTAACTTGACTAGATGAATATAGAATTTTCATTAAAAAAAAAAAAAAAAAAAAAAAAAAAAAACTATATATGAAAAGCTCACGGCTAAACAAACACATAACGTGGCTAGATGAACATGGTATTGTCATCAAACAAAAAACCGAGCATGAAAAACTCATGATCTAGCTAGCATCCGAGTTTGACTAGATGAATAATAATAAAAAAAAAAAAAAAACTTAGCATGAAAAGTTCACGACTTTGTTAGATGAATATGGCGAGTGCCATAAAAAAGAAAAATGGAGCATAAAAATCTAATAGTCTAGCCAGACACATAGCTTGGCTAGATAAATATGACGTTGCCATTAGGAAAAAAATTAAGCATAAAAAGCTTATAATCTAGCCAATTGCGAGTCGGCTAGATGAAAATATCATTGACATAAAAAAAAACAAGCATGCAAGGCTCACAACTTGGCCAAATGCATATGACATCGTTATCGAAAGAAAAAAATTAAGCATGAAAAGCTCACAACCTAAGCAACATACAATTTGGCCGGATGAACATAGTGTTACCATAAAAAAGAATAAAAAAACACAAAAAGATCACATTTTAGTAGGTGCATCTTAGCCGGTTAGATATGACAATGCCATCGGAAAGAAAAATTGAGCATAAAGATATTAATGGCATAGCAAGTGTATATATCAACCAAATGAACATGGCATTACCATACAAAAAAATAAAATAAAAATAAAATAAAAAAAAAAAAAAAAGAAGAAGAAGTAACTAAGCATAAAATACTCACAACATGGCTAGTGTGCAACTTGACCAAATGATAGTAATATGATAGGTGTTTGGTAGGGAGATGTCTTCCCAATCATTCAATTGAATATGTGGTATTAGATCATGCTCCATATTAATAGTTGATGGTATCATATTTTAAGAGATATCGATCTAGGGAATTTCATCTATTGGAAGTAGTTAGGTAAGGTTGTTGGGGGCTTAAAAAAATGCAGCATTGTTGATGCATGCCAAATGAATCAAATTTAATTTATTCTTTTTCTTACCAATTTTTGTAGCAATGACAAGTCTAGGTCGAACCCTAGAGATTAGATAATCAATTTAGTTTATATAAATAAAATAAGAGATTTGTTTATGTGCAAAGGAAAATTAATGAGAAAGCAAAAATAAAATAAGAAAGATTTCAATTTAGAAAAAACTTTAATTTAGGAATAAATTCAAACGTTTAATTTACAAATTGATAAACGATACTTAAATTACTATTCTGTCATTGAATACTAAGCATAGATTTACCTAGATGCTAGAATAAACTCAAATCTTTTCTAAATTCATTAACTTAAATCTCCATGTCTGAATTAAATTCTTATTATTGATTGATTTTGATATTGATGCAATCACAATCCAATCAACAATAGCATTTAGAATTCGAAAGATAGCTATGACTGAAAAATAATTTTAAGATGCCAAAATTATTTATTTTATTTTTTATCTTTTCTTAGGTAATCAAACCTATTTTGTCACTTGTACTACCTTTTTTCAATAATTACAGATTAAAAGAGTTAGTTAGTTATCAATCACAATAGACAATCAACTAATTGGCCTTGTTAGACAACTATTATGCAATAATGATCAATTAAATTCAAATATTAATTAATTAATTTTAAATAAAAAAGATACTTAAATTATATAAAATAGTTTAAGAATTAAACTCGTATCTCGCATTGTTTTACAGATTGAAGTTGAACCCTTAAACTGAATTGATGAAATTAGCTAGACACTATTTGAAGCAATAAGCCATAAATTATATAAAAGAAAAGCACAAAGATATCGTCTTTAATGTACACCCTTATAAGCTATTTATACATGTAAGGAGATAAATATAACATCCAACAAAGTCATATTTTAACTAGTTATCAAAATTGACTAGAACTTATTGCTGAATAGGACTTTAGGTTATATGCTAAAACTTTTGAATTAATTTAGGTTAAAAGATGGAAGAATATTGTAACCCCTGTAAAAACCCTTATCCAGTAACGTGACGTGTATTAGAATAATTCTATATATATGTATATTAAGAGTAAGTGTAATTATCATTTCATCATGAGAAATTAATGCTTGAAATATGTGATTTATGTTAAATTAAAGTTATTGTGCTTAAGATTAATGGTTTAATTATTAAAGAAATTAAATATGCAAAATCAGTGTTTTAAGGACTATATTCT